CAGTACCTTAGAATCAAATTGTCTCCACTCCGCTCCAGCCATGTCCCATTCCCTTGAGCTTCCAAATACAAAATATATATATATATATATATATAAAATCTTGGATTGTGTTCTTTTTATAAAAAAATATATATATTATTTACCTATTATGTAATTTGAATTTAAAGTTTTTTTGTTTTAATTAAAAAATAATACTCATTAATAATTTTTTAATAATTATATTGTAAAATATAGTGAATCAAAGGATATACTAATTATTATCCATAACCAATAATATGTCTCATTGTTAATAATTTAAACAGTTCAGTAATAATTTACATTTAATAAAAAAAAATTTTAATTCAAATTATATAACATGTGATAAAATAAGATAATAAATGAAAAAAAATTATCTTTTTATCATATAATTTTAAAATAATAATAAAAATAAATGTCTCATTTACATTTTGGGTCTCACAATCACATGCATATATATGCTGCTACATAGCTAGTGAGTGGCCACAAACCTCAGATCTGGTAATGTTAATTATTTCATGGTAGCTTTACATTTTGGGTTCCACGCGGCAGATTTTTATTAAAGCCAACAAACACAGCAGGTAGAGGCCATCTCTTTAATTTAATCTCTCCAATCTCATCATGTTATGCTGGATATCAGTTCCACGTGTTGGTTCGTATTATGTTAACGCTATAAGCTTCTGTATGTAGGTGTTATTGAAAACGATTTAATTAATTAATGTGAACGTCATTGTCTTTGATGAATACAATGAATAGCACTTGTTGATTGTGAAACATGTAGTACATAATTGGATTCTTCTTATTCTTCTTTCCACATATTATAATGTATACTAAAACTTTGCCCGTGGCTTGTGTTGCTATTGTATAGATGTTCTATTTATATCATCAGAGTTTAATTTTCTTGTATCTCCTTTCTCTCTCTCTCTCTTTAATGCTGCAATTTCTCTCAGTTCCAGAGAAAAAAAAAAAAGTATAATGTATATTAATTTCATATATATGAAGAATGGAGAAAAAACTTGAAATATTGCTAAACATATAGACGTCCAACAATCCCGTTGATGGGAAAGTGTTAAGACATGAAAATTTGAGTTCTGGGTACATCCAGGCACTACAAATCTTCCATGCAAAAATTCTCTTATTTCAAAAAGGAAAAAAAAAAATGCTAAACAGACAACTCTAGCATAAAAAATGCTAATTTTTTTTTTTTTTATGATACATACATCTTCTATATGTTTAACAGGGAATAGTGTCTTATCATATGGTGTAATTACCAGTGATGAGAACTTGAGAAGACTTGTCAAAAAAAAAAAAAGAGAGAACTTGAGAAGTGGCAGGCCTGATTAATTAATAAAAAGATTAATTAAAAGAAAAGCAGGTGTAATTAATTATTCTAAAATCTAAAGGGAAATCAAGACAAAAGGGATGGAAATCTGTGAATATGGAGGAACAGTATTTGTCTTCAAGATTGTACATGACTATGAAACACTGGTCACACCGACCAATGCAGATGCCCTTTTTTTTTTCATTTGTTAGGCCTTCTACCAATGCAGATGCTGGATTTCGCTAAAAAGTGGAACCCAATTTGTTGCTCCCATAGAAAAATAATATTACCATCTCTCCGTCCGAAATAATAATAATAATAATTTTATTTTTAAAGTAAAAAATTATTATACATGTTATACAGGAACAAATTATACAACAATAATTGTTAAATAAAAAATAAACATTTTATTTTATAATTTAATTCAATATAAACTAATAAATAGAAGACTCATATTAAAATGTAAAATAACAATATTTAATTAAAAATAAATTTTAAGTCAAAAACCAGTACAGAATAATTGTAAGTTTTTTTTTTTTTAAATCAAAAAATGTTCCACTCTCAAGAGAAGAGAAAGAGAGAGGATGGAGGGAGAGTTGGGGGAAAAGCCTTCAAATTAAAGTCCAATCTCTGACTCTGTCTTTGGCATTATTTACTCATCAGTACTCTTTCTTTATGAGTTAGTAGTAGTTCTTACACATACATACAACCTCTAATTTTACATCTTTGCCGGGTAGGGTAATTTCTTGACTTTCTGTCTTTCCCCCACTGTAGAATTAATTATAACCCTCAAAATCAAAATGGTTGTTTTAATTTCCTCTATTTCTGACTCATGTGCTTGTATAAATATGAGTCATGAGTCATAGCCAAGGTACTAACCGTCCTCTTAAATTTCCCAATCTAATCTGAAGCTTCATTTAATCCAACCATGGCAGATCCATGTTCCAAACTCTTGAGTACTGGATGTTTCAATTTCATGCCCCTCAATCCTCACTACTCTTATTTCCTTTCTTACTCAAATTCCAATGCTAGTACTCCACCACCTGCTTTCACAAATAACTTCATCATCAACAAGAAGTACTGTTGTAATTATTGTACTCATCAAAATCAACCTCATCATCCTTCTTCCTCATCACCACCTGCCTCCAAAGAGGTTCTTCCCCTGATCAACTATTTGAGCCCCACCACAAGACAAGAAGACAAGGAATCCTCAACTAGTTCCATGGAAGAGGAGAAGAGCCATTTTTCTGATCATGTCGCTGTTGCACTACAAATTGGTCTTCCAAGCCCTAGTAGCTCTGATCTGGTGGGATCTAAGGTCTCCCCATGTGCAGATTTGGTGGATAAGGAAGGAGAGATGAGTATGGTGAGTGCAAGTGCAATTTCTGGGTACCCTTTGGAAAGGCGAAGCAAGGGACAGTATTGGATTCCTACTCCTACCCAGATTCTCATCGGTCCTACACAGTTTTCATGTTCTGTTTGTTCCAAGACCTTCAACAGATATAACAATCTTCAGGTATCTATATATGCCTATTTGCATGTTCTCTCTCTCTTTCTCTCTCTCCCCTTAATCTTTTATATATGGTAGTAATTTGTTTTTTGATCAAATATAATTTATATAAATTATGTTGCAATATATTGTCTTTGGTTGATATATAGATATATGTAATTGATGACCAATGGTCTGACCAGGTGAGATTTAAGTTAGTTGTTGATGATGATTTGGTATTAACTTTGAATTGTGTGCAAACACAATAGCAAATAGGTTACTACTATATAAAGCAAGACATTATTTTTAATGGTAGTAGTATATATCTCATATAAATTAAGATGGTTTCAGTCTGAATTTTTATCAATTAACAACCCATGAGATGAACATGAGAATCCTTCAATCTCTTTTGAAGCACTGCACGCTTAAAATTGACTTATCAACGCTGCAGTTGAAGCAAAAGGCAGTGCGTGGACTGAAATTCAGATGTCTTTGCTCATTAATTACAAACAACACTAGGTCACTCTGACACCCTCCTTCTCCATTCTGTAAAAAATATGGCATTAGAATTAGAATTATTATTGGTAAAAAGATTAAAGAAACTGATAATTCCCTAGTTACCCTAAAAATGTTTTCACTAACAAACCCTAGCATCTAAATCTTCATTTTAATGATTCTTCCTGTTGTGGATTGACTTCTTAATCATTTTATATATATACTGTCAAATAAGCTAATTATATTGTATATATAGCAAATTAATTAAGGTTTCAACTCCTCCTAAATTAACCGGTTGCAAATTAAGACATAGATATAAAATTATATATATTGGGTTTAATTGTGCAGATGCATATGTGGGGACATGGGTCTCAGTACAGAAAAGGACCTGATTCTCTAAGAGGAACTCAACCAACAGCCATGCTTAGGCTCCCATGCTACTGCTGTGTACCAGGGTGCAAGCACAACATTGATCATCCAAGAGCAAGACCGCTCAAAGATTTTAGAACACTCCAAACACACTACAAGAGAAAGCATGGAGTTAAGCGGTTTACCTGCAGAAAATGTGGCAAGCCATTTGCGGTGAAAGGAGACTGGAGAACCCATGAGAAGAACTGTGGAAAGGTTTGGTATTGTATTTGTGGCTCTGATTTTAAGCACAAGAGGTCTCTAAAGGACCACATCAGGGCATTTGGCCAGGGACATGCAGGCGCCTTTTGGAGTGATAATATTTACCTGGAAGCTGAAGATGATCAGGAACAGGGATCTGATGAAGTTGAGCTTGTTGATGAGGCTCCCATCTGGAAACAATAACCTGCAGGTGTAATTAATTAATTTTATCATCAGTTGGTTGGATTAAGCTGGCCTTAATTGGGTTTTCTCTATATGTCTATATTTATATATATAGTTCGTGACAGATCATAAAGTTATTGCTTTTATGTTTAATGTTTTGCATATATGCTTTGTGTCTCCAATTCGATTGCTTTGTTATATATGTAGTTAGACCCATTTTCTGTACCATAAATTCATCCATTTTTATGGAAGAATTAAGAGAGAAGATGTGCAAAGTGTTTCTACAATATTGATAACTGCTTAAAGGGTATTGTAACTTTTTTACCTCTGGCCTTGCTGGTAACAAGAATGTACATTCCTTTGCGTGGGAATAAATAAAACCAATAAGAGTTTAATAAGAGTTTAGTTTAGTTGATATTTATTAACTTAAAACTCTTGATTTTAAAAGATTTAAATATTTGTAATATTAAGCAGCTAATACTCTAATTACTAAAAACTACGTACACATAAATAAAGATATTTTGTGTAATAAATATATTTCTTAATTTGGTAAAAAAAAAAGAAGTTTTCACATGCACACATTATTCCCTCACCATATAAATGAATTAATTGTTTAAAAAAAATGAATTTGCACGATAAGAAGTAAGTTTTAGTAATCAATGATTTGTTGGTTTAAATAGAAAGAGTTCAGTTTCTTTTAAATAAATTATTGAATTTGACTCTTATAAATGGAGAAAGAAGTAATGGAAGAGTTCCTTCTTATAAAGTTTGACTTGATTTGATTTCAGATTAATTAGAAGTTAATATAACTTTTGGACAGAGGGATTTAGTACAAAAAAAAAGAAAGAAAAAATGAAAAAGGAAGAAGAAGTAACTTCTAGTCATCCATTCAACATCTAACTAGGATACACTGAGCTTAAACCTCTTATCTTCATATAGAAAAGATTACTATCATTGAATAAATTAATTAAATGGTTTGGCCATCAATTATAATCTTTTAATCATAAAAAATATTATAGTTATAATATCATGTAATATTGTAAGTATGTAATATTGTAAGTCTATAATAAGATGTGTTGTTATATAAATAACTTTTTTCATTTGAGGGTTAACTCATTATATTGTATGTATTTATTCATTTAATATTATATTAAATTTATTTAATATTACATTATGATTGTAAGTTTACAACCCTACATAATGTTGTAACTATAGTATTGGCATTTAATTATCCATTGCAAGCTTTTATAAATACAACCTATGAATATTGATAGGGAGACTGCTGAAATTATTGACATTTGGCAACGATTATTTATAAGTATGTCTGCACCAAATGGAATTATAGAAATCAAACTATAACTAAAATTAAGAAAGTAGTTACTAATATTGATCGCTTACGCAATTAAATGGCACCTTATGCAGTCTTAAATAAACAGGAGAAACAGACATTTTCTAGTTTCAACAAAATAATAATAAGAATAAAATTTCATGTAGTAAAAGAAAATGAATGTGGTATTGCCCCTTTTTGGTATAAAAAGAATCGATGTTGATTTGTAATCAAATTTGTGTAGTAGTAGCATTTTCCCGTGTGGTCGAAGTGGTCACGTTTTTTTATGTGAAAAGTAAGATGGAATGTAGCACATAATCATCACATCGATACCTCGATTACTTTTCAAACAGATACTAATTTACTAACTATGTTTTTTTATCATTAAAAAAATAAATAAATAACTTGTGTGGTAGTAGTGGTAGGGTCTAGAAAAGCCCAAAACTTATTCTCATCGGTTAAAGAATAAATGGGCCGGTCCATAAAACAAGAGACCAAATCACCAAACACAGGACAGGATGCAGAGAGTGGAACTGGAAGAGAAAAAAAAAAAATGGAAAAGATGAAGATGGACCTTCTTTCTTTGCAGTCTTGGTTATATGATATATTATTAATTGTTTGTACTAGAAACTCCATTCGAAATGCATTGCTGTTGAAACAAAATTGAGCTCAATTTTTAAAACTAATACAATACTATAACTACTAGCTAGTACAACATGAAAAGAGTCAAGCATCAAGAGGAGGCGTTGCCAACAGTCTTGAAGGATTGATGAAGATGCCTCAAGGTGTCTTGGTCACGGTTCCACTCGGGCATGGGTGCATTCACAAAATGAGCATAAAGCTTGTTCCTTGCACAAGTAACCGATATCAAACTGTGTTTTCCAACCCCATCAATCTCGTACACATAATAAATCTGCCCATTTTCATCTTTCTTCTCCTCCGATTCCAGACTCTCTGCTCCTGCAATCAAATCTTGCAGCTCCACATCCGACAGCGCCAGATTATTCAAAACCACATCTTTGGGGGCCAGTTGTCTGAATCCTGCCAAGAATGTCAAGTACTCCTTTTCCTGCTTCTTCTTCGGATTGTAGAATTCACTATCCGTTCCGTTAGTCCCCTTTTCCACTTTGGACACCAGTCGTTCTTTCCATCCATCTGGGACATCGTACACGTACTCCGCCGACGCTTTCTTGTCGGAATTTCCCCCGTATCCTCCATAATTAGCGGCGCTGGCTGCTGTGCCGTAGTAGATGGTGTAGGACGGTGTTTCTGATGAGGGGGGCAGGGAAAGGGAGGGATTCGGAAAGGGGGTTAGGAGGAGAGTGGCGGTGGCTAGGCTGGTCGCCAATGTGGCCTTGAGCGATCCTGGTGATTTGATGCAGAGTGGGACTTGTGTTTGTGGGGTTTTGGGTTTGGTGGTGGAGGAGAGAATGGGTGAGGGAGAACGTAGCGTGGCCATGGCCATCTTGGGAGCGGAGTGGATCATCAGTGGATGTGGTTCATATTCATTCCCTAAATACTCTGGCTGCTTTGTTATCTTCTCCGATTTCCCTTATCCAAAATTTTTTTTTTCAGATACGTCCCTAAGCTTAAACTGGGATTTTAAAATAGGTTCCAGAACTTTTTTTTTTTAAAACCAACTGAATCCCAAAGCTTTTTATTTTTTATTTATTATTTTTTAATCCACTCGAGGTTGCGGTAGAATTTCGCGACTGCCCAGTCAACCCAAGGTAGTCTCACTTCGCAAGGAAGGAGGAAGAAAGAGGACTGTCGATATAAAGGGAAGGGCGGTGGGAAGGGGTGAAAAACCGACTGCCAAAAAACGAACCCTAAAGCAGAAGTTGAGAAGAAATTTGGGGTGCCTGCTACCTGCCCTGTTTCGATTCGCCTCGCTATCCATGTCAAAGAGGTAAAATTGTTTTCTCCGATCATGTAATTGTTCAATTTGAAATTCAATTTAATCGATTTCTTGATCTTGATTTGATTCAATGGTTCTCTATCAATTGCTTAAAAATATCAAGAATATAGTTTTTTTCATTTTGGTTGAATTGAATTGGAGTCTTTAATTTTTATCATTACTTTTCAAGAGGAAAGTAGTGATTTTTATGATTCTTTTTCACAATCATTCCAGGGTTGTTTGCAAGTTCTATGCCCAGGGAACATGCCTGAAAGGGGAGCATTGTGAGTTTTCTCACCATCGTCGAAGGGTTTCATCAAATAATGTAAGACGTCTACTACTCCTACTACTACTTCTGTATTTAATGATCTCATATTTTATTATTGGTTGGATCACTGCTTGCAGATTTGCATCTACTATCAAAAAGGAATGTGCTCTTATGGTAGTCGATGCAGATATGAACATGTTAAGGTGTCACATTCAGATACACCCACTTCATCATCCTCAACACTACCTCTACCTCTACCTCGTCCTTCAAGAACCACGCCAACTACCGAAATTTCGGTTCCAACTGCTTCTACCATGTCTCCCCGGAGTATGGAATCTACAGATAATGCCAGTAATCTTAGACCAGCTCATCAATCTTTCTGCCCTTCTGCTGCTGCTGGTAATTGTCCTCATCCAGAAAAATACCCTTCCGTGCATGAAGATTTGTGTCCGACCTGTGGGAAACATTTCTTGCATCCTTTCATACCTCAAGAAAGGGAACAACATATTAGAGCCTGTGAGAAAAGGAAAAGGCATGATGAGGCACTGAAACGGAGTCAAGAAATAGAATGTAGTGTGTGCCTGGAGCGTGTATTATCCAAGTCCACTCCAGCTGAAAGGAAGTTTGGGATTCTTTCGGAATGTGATCATTCATTCTGTATATCCTGTATTAGGAATTGGCGCAGCAGTTCACAATCCTCCAGGGTGGATCCCAATACTGCATGCAGGTCATGCCCAGTTTGTCGTAAGATATCCTACTTTGTCATTCCTAGCAGCGTTTGGTTTTCCACACCTGAAGAGAAGCAGGAAATTATTGATACCTACAAAGCTAAACTGAGGTAATCTAGAGCTATATACAGCTTTTAGGTTTGTCATAAAATTTCAAGCTTTATACTCATGCTCTTGGGAAGGGAGGGGTTGTAATCCCCTGGGTAAACTTGATCTGTTGAGTTGCACTGGATCTGTTTGGACAAGTTTACAAGCTTTTGGATATGAGAATTTACGAGGATAAAAATAGATTAATTATATAGAAATTATGGATTTCTGAATCTGTAGTACATTTTCATTTGACAATTATTCATATTATCTTTGACTTTGCAGATTGATAGATTGCAAGCACTTCAAGTTTGGAAATGGAAACTGCCCCTTTGGGACCAGTTGTTTCTACAAGGTAAAATAAGTCATTTACTTGAAGTGTTTTGGTCGTTAGGAAAATAACAGGCTTTATTCTCAACATTTGGCTTCACTAGTCTTTATCCTAATTACCTTAAAAAGCAATGGCTCATTGATGGGGAGTTGGGAGCATAGATGAGGCAACTGGACAGGAGTTTATCTAACTGACTACAAAACTGTATTGAATTTGTCTTGGTGATAATGCTATGAAACATAGATCAGGAGAAATGCGAATGTTTCTCAATTGCATTTTATATGCTTTCACATAAATTGATGAATTCTGCTGTTGAATTTATTAGTAAAATTGAGGTCATAAACTTCCCATGCCATTCATCATATTTGACTGACTAATTATAAAACATTCATTGGCACAATAGTTCATTAAAAAAAGGTTAAAATGTCAACTTAGTTGATGGGGGATAAGACTAGCATTTTGAGTGAACTATTATAATCAGGACAAAAGTACTGATGATAACTTAATTAAATTTGTCAGAATTTAGAGGCCATTTTTTGGATGTGTGATTTCATCACTCTATTTCTCTCTTTTTTAATCCTAAGGAAACGAACATGCATCACAAAGTGTTCCAGTAGAAAGAACATCAAAGGTCCAAACTATCTTTCCACTTTAGAACTCCACATGCACTATGCCACTATCTATAATTTGTATCTTTAAGCTGTTTTCTTGGCTTCTCTTCTGGTTGTTTCTTTCATAGGTATGTGAACCTAGTTATCCCCCATCCCCCTTTATTCCTGGTTTGGTTGCTAATTTCAGTAAAAGGCTAGGGAAAATCTGCTTTTCTTTGTGAGTAGGTGGGGCTTTTTATGGTTTTCGTTCTTGTGAATTTTGCATCTTTTGTATGCCATTTTCTTAGATAGCATTAGTTCCAATGATTCCTTTAATGGGTTGCTGTTGTGTTGTGTTCCAGCATAAGGTCAAGCCAGGTTCATATGCATGGAAACATCACAGGCCACCTCCTCGCATGCCTTCTCATCGCAGATCCAATGATATGGAAATGTTCTCATTTTTTGATGATATGTTTGAGAGCTTGGACGTTGAAGATTTATGGGATTGGGATGATGAATCAGATTATGATGATTTTACAGTAGAAGACGATGAAGAAGGAATTGGAATGGCCTTATATTTGATGGGACGTCTTTTTGGCTTAGGTGATGAGGAGAATTAATCTCCTTTAGGTTTCCTAGGTGCATAGATTTAGAAATGTTTGTTAAGTCTGTTCTTGTGTTGGATTTTTGGAGATGTGATGATTATTGGGTTTTTTTATGGCCCGCCACATTTTGCATATGGTGGAAGACTATTGTTGGGAGTTTGTAAGTTTGATCGTTTTAATTCACATCATGTAATATTGTGGCGAGATGTAAGACTATTTGAAACCTTTTCATGTGATCTGAATAAAGTTCCATACATAGCCTGGATGATGAGATGGTGTGCATTTTAGGGGTTGCTTTGGTTTAATGCTTATATATTAATTATATTGTGGTTTTGTTATTTGCTTGCAAGAGAAATGCATAAACAAAACCATCAAGAACGAATAAAAAGTAGTATACCATAGATGAGAAATACGGGATAAAGGGCTGGTTTTCTACTTGATTTTTTTTTCTTTTCTTTTTTTTTATTTATTATTTTTGAGAGTGTTTCCTAAAAAATCTTCAAACAATAGAATCTAAATGCGGACGTCCTTCTTGCTTTGCTAAAAAACAAAAAAGAAAAAGATTTTTCAAACGACTCTTTTTTTTTTTTTTTTGCAGTCGATGTCCTTGCAGATGACTAGAAGAACATTGGTTTAAAATGAAATTTGCGTCTTCAAAAGACTTGTAAGAGAAAGAAATGCTTTTTTACAAAATGAGTTGCTAAATCTG